ATACCTAAAATACTTTACTAGAGAGACAACTTTACTATTGGCATGCAACATACCGTTGGCCTCCAGCTCTGCGACAGCTTCATCAACATGTTTCCCGACCAAATGTTTGTATGTTTCACTATGCGACGCCATGTTTTCGATTTTCTTTTTGCTAGATGTGCACGACAGTCAATCAATCGATAAAATGAAAGAGAAACTGCGTCTTAATGGTAAATATCACACAAAACTACTGAAGCGTTACATGTTGACACTATTTGCTATCATAGAAAATTTGCATAGAAAGGCAAAGAAAAAAAAGTCGTAGCATATTGAGATATAATTATGCATTTATCATACAAACCTTAGTCATATGGGGATGATTGGAAGAAATCAAGGGTAAAACTAACTTTGAATCAAAAGCAAACTCAAATACCATGTGCGCATCTATGAAGAGATAAATAATGAATTAGTTGGCTACTAGAAAAATAAAAAGTCAAACATTTGCTTGTTTTATTCAATAGGCGTTCCTCGTATTTCATAGTTGCTGTATTGATTAGCGACAGACGATGTTCAGTCGAGAATGAGGGCATAGGTGCACATAAGCCAATTGAGAAACAGATCAACCTATATTTCTTTGATACAAATCAATCTGCTAGTCTCAACTCTTGCTTTTCAGCAATCGATCTAGTCGAAAATTAAATAATTTTAAATAAATGCACAGTTAATGTCGCCGACGCATTTCGTGTTATTAATTAATATATTGAAACACTCTTCAAGATTTGGCATTTACAGTTGTAAGCAAAATGGGAAATTTAGGATTTAATTAATAATAATAATAAAAAAGAGTAGAGAAAGATTTAAATACGACTGAAAAGAAAAAAGAAAACAAAAACAAAAACAAAAGGTACAATCGAAAATATTATAATTAAAAGCTAATAGTGAACCGCACTCTACTTTGATTTTAAATTATTTCATCTATATCGAGTTTATTGTAATATTTAATATACATATATACATCGATTTAATCATGTAGAAAAACCCGATATCAATAGAACAATTAGTGAAACATTTGAATCAATTAAATTAGTGGATAAATGTTCAAATAATGATTTTATTTTAATAATTTTATTTAATTGTATTATAATATAGATTTTGTTTTAGTATGAATTGCAGATAGTCAATATATTTAATAAATTGTACTTAGAATAATATTTATAATAAAAATAATGTAGTACAAAATTGAATTTAACGACTAAAACATTATTTAACTCATGAGGAGTAAATAAAATTAAAAGAAGATATGAGAAACAGTTTGTAGCGAAGAGATAAATATATGTAGATTGAAACATTATTGCAATTATTTTTTAAAAATTCTGTTCTTTAATTTATTATTGAATGAGTAAAGATAAATTAATTGTACAATGATGTTTCATTCGACGTTTTATTAATTGGATAAAATAATATTTGTGATAATAAATAATCGTTCAATAAATTCTATAATTTTATTTGAAGATCGGATTTTTTATGAAGAATAACAATAACACAGACCTATACCATATGTTCTGTATTTCGAATAAAATCTCTATCGAAAACTAAAACTTATTGTAACCGAAGGAATACATTTATAACAGATAAATAATAATAATAATAATATAAAAAGATATTAATCATCAATAATCAACATGATTAAAAAATCTTTTTGTTCAATTAAAGCTTTACATATTGAATGAGTTTGAACATATTTTATTTTGTAATTTAAAACTTAATAAATTTTTTCATTTTGTTTGTAAATTCGATTTTCTTAAGTAGTCAAATACTAAAATATGTGCTTAAAAGTTGAATAGTTTTTATAAAGTTATCATTAAAATTATATTTATGCTAAACCAAATGTAATAATAATTTTAAAATAACAATTAATAATATTAAAGAAATGAGATGAAAAAAAGTTGTTCAAAATAATTAAATTAAGTCTTTGTTTAATTATTTCAAAAAAATCTTTATTCTACGATTTAAAAAATTTTCATAAATAAGGATTATTTAATATTTCTGTCTATAAATCAAATTTAATAAATTTTTAAATAACAATAATTAATGAATAAATGACCCGTCTAATGGTACCTTAATAAAGGAAATAACAATTTTGAGATATGAACAACAATAGCAAAAGTTAAAAAGCACTGTATGGCTGATCGTTGCATAGAAAAACGCAAACTAATTTTCTTTGCACTATCAAATTTGTTATAGATCTATTGTATTCATTTCTTAATACTCAGGGGTACATTTTTCTATGCTACAGTCATATGCTTATTTGGAGAACATCTCTATTGAGGTGAAATATTTCTCTGAAGGTGATATAACGGTATGTTTTTGTATATCTCTGAATATCCTTCTTCTCTCAAAAAAAAACGCATTAGGAATGCTGTGCTCTAACGTATCCCTGTAAAATTCATTGTTTTTAGTGACATATAGCATAAAAAGATGCATTCAAATTAATGACACATGGGCGCCTCAAACGAATTATAAAAACATAATCAAACGACATTATAAATAGCATTGTTTGTAGAAGAAAAAACGCGTAATATGTAAATTGGACGAACTCAATAGCGTAAGAGATAATTAAAAAAAAAGGTACGCCAGTTTTAGAAACTTTTAAGACATTTCTGTCTAATGATGAATTTTAATATTCAAAAGCTAAGATGGAAGTGTTCTTAAAGAAGGATTCTTGCAGATATTTTGTCTAGTGAAACAAAGTAAACTCATTAGAAATTGACTTTGATGAAAAATATCCTTGTCACAAGAGAGTTGGTAGTTATGGCATAGAATCTAGAAAGGATATGGGTCGCTAAGACCCTGATATTCGGAGTCAGCGCAGAAGACTGCATACAGTTATGTATGTTTCAAGAAAAAAAAATATTTGGATACTTGAGATACTTGCCTCCTAAGATCAAAGTATATTGGTATCTGTTCTGGTTGGCTTGAAAGCCGGTGCTGGTCCTATTGGATTCAGACTTTTTCAAGCGAATTTTTGGACATCAGTCGGGATCAATCGAGTTCACCCTTGTTTTCTTCGCGAAACGAGAACCTATCGATCATCATAAAGTAATGTGAAAGTATCTCTCATTCTTAACGATACTACAGAAAGTAGACATCAATATTACGCCTATAAAATAGTTGTGATATTATTACTCATGAATTTTTTGTAATGATAGTATTTTTGTTCTTGTTAATATATTGAATAACGTGCAATGAAAGATATGTTACAACTAGATATTCCCCTAGTCGAACATCTTGTAAGCAAGATCTTGGCCAAGATCTTAGGTACAGAAATGTAAACAGATCTTGGAAATTTAGGTACAAGATAATATGATTATCTTGCACCAAGATCTTGAATTAGATCTTAGGTACAGACATTTAAGATCTTGGACACAGATGCATAAGACCTTAGATATGGATCCATAAGATCTTGGGTATACACTGAGATTATACGTGTTGCGTGTGTCGTGATTTGCGACACAATGCATGATAGATTTTAAAAGCGTGGTTCGAATCTATCATATAGAGCACTTTTTTTTTCTGTAAAATCGTGTTATGACATATTTTTTTCAATTTACTTCATTTTAATTATTCCTATTCCGAATAACTAAAGCAAGTCAGATCTTGGAACCTGCCTGATCTAGAGATGGCTCGATCTTCATCACACTACTTCAGGGTAGTCTGCTCTCGATCATTGACCGAGATCAGCATTTTCTCGAATGATTAATAGTCGAGAAAGTGTTTAGAAAAAAAAATATTTTGAAAATGTACGTTTCGTATGTTCAATCAAGTTGTTTATATACGGCTCTATATGCATAAAAAAACGGTGAATGACTAGTGAGCATGTAACCAATAAACTAATGATGTCGCTTTTTGCTGTATTCAAGATCTTGTGAGAAGATAAAAGTGAACGATATCTTTTCCATGATCTTAACAAGATCTTAAGCACAGATTTATCTGATATAACCAAGATATGCATATGCAAATTATCTTTCCAAGATATGATCAAGATCTTGCTTATCGGTCACAAGATTTCAAGATCTTGCTTACAAGATGTTTCACTAGGGCCATGAATTAAAGTTCAGCAAGGAGCAAGCAAGAAAAATATATGTCAGGAAATTTTGAGATCTAAGTAAAATTAAACAAAATTTTTCAAATATACAAAAATGTGAAAAAATAAGAATAAAGTCTAAACTATTATTTTATACATAAATAAATAATAAGTTGATTATGGTTGTTTTTTTTTTATATGGAATATATATTTCAACAATATGTTGTTTTGTTTATTAGACATAGAAACACTAAATGATTAGGGAAATTTCCGCATATATTTATTGATACGAAGAGGAAGTTGACGTAGATGTGTTTTAAAAAGAATGACACATTGTGCCGTATATGTATCTCATAAAATCGTTCTTGATAAACTTTGAATTGGATCTTTTGATAATACACTGATCCACTTTGTATTTCTCATGATCTTGCTAACCGTATTAATATTATCAAAATGAGAACGAAACCGTCGAAAAATCTTATCAAATAAAAGAAAAAAATTAGAATTCTTGTATTTTAATCCATGAAGTTGTACAGCTCTCGAGTATTCTCAATCAAAATCTACTTTGTCTTAGCAAGATTCAATCAAAGAAAAACCTAAGAATCTTTAAACTTGTGCTTTTCGAGTAGCATCTTTTTATCAATGTTTATTTGTCTTCAAATTTAACGTTGTCTTTAGATGATGTTTATATGTGCCAATATATTATGCTGTTAAATTTTGTCAAGTAATATTCCAATAACTCGAAAAAAGATCAAAAATTTTTTAACTGATGTGTTTTCTATGAATGTCGGTGTGGATGTGAGTATGCACTAATAGAAGATCCACACTGACACACCCGCAACCTTGTTTTTTTATCATCCCGTATCATCACTAACAACTTTCTTATTTTGTGATTCATATTTACTATTTGTCATTTTCTTATTACTTGCAAAACAATATGTCATTATCATTTCCCCCTCAATCACCATTTACATTACCTAAAATTCGTCGTATTGTAAAACCAGAACAAGAACAAGCAGCAAAATCAACAAAAATAACATTATTATCTACATCGTTATCACAAGGTGAATATTTAAAGATTTTTGAAAGGCTTAATTGTGCTATTTATTGGTGATAATTCAGTGCATGTTTTACATCAAGATTTAGGTAAAGCATTAAAATACAGTCGTTTATTAGAGTATACAGAAGCCGCCCGTCAAAACGGAAATTACGAACCTATTGAAGGTAAGTCACAAATAGTAGACTAAAATAAAATGTGCGTATTGTTGTGTCGCAATTGCATGTGTTGCATTAGAGATGTGTCATAGTCTGTATGCGCTATCCATTGATTCACTTGTTTGTTTCGAATATACAGCTATATATAATCCAGTCGATTAGACGTATTTAACTTATACATTTTTGTATTTCTTTTGTTTTGAAATTATTTCTCAGTCATTTTATTATATGAGAACATGACGAGAGGTGGCTGAATGGCCGAGAATATAGACTGTCTCGAAGCGGTTCGATCAAGTACAAATGATTTCGATAAGAATCATATCTTAAGAACTGATTGTGTTGAGTTTCAAAAATAGATATTATAGTTTGAATCAAAATGAAAATATAGTAATTATTTAAATATCGAAAACAGAAAATAATTCCCGTGTCAAAAATTAGGTTCAAATTGCGTTCGAAAAATGTTGTGGCATGTGCCACACACACATTCACAAGAATGTGTCATAGATCTGCTGAAAGAAATGTTTTGCAACGAACACCTTTAGTCATATTTTAATATGTCGTACACTTTTGTGTTGTATGTGTCGTACTTTGCCATACATTTCATGTTGAGTGTGATAGTATTGGTTTGAAATTGTTTATCATTTCGATTTAGACGAGAAGATATTATTATCTGAAGGTAAAATTGGTACGTGCAAACATCGAGATATATATCAATTTCATTTGGTCAATAACTCAACCAAATCGAGATATATTTATTTAAATTCAATAGTGAATGATAGTACCTATTCAAGAATTGCAATTTATAAAAAATAAAGACCCATCATTATCAATTGATTTAATTATTTTTTGTTCTTATACATAAGACATAAATGAGTTTGTTTGACTTTAGTTCATTGATTCTTATATATTTTTTGCTTTATTTTGGTTCAGAAAAAAAATAGAAAAATCCAATTTAACATTCAATGATTACTTCAACAACTATTCTATCAAATTAGAACATTTTTTAAACTGTTTAATTGCTTTTTCTCGAGAATCAAATAAAAGCTGTTCAGAGTTTTTTTATTGGATGATTCCTTTACCACAATCTATAAATATGTCAGTTGAAAAACAACAACAATTTCAACAAGTCATGCAAGTTATGGATCATATCGTTAAAAATAATGGTTTCATACAATTTGATCGTTATGACATATGGCAACGACATAAAGATTTAGTAATATCAGGTACAGGTCATTTTTCTTTACATGAAGAGAAGAATAAATTCTAATACATTAGCCTATTTATTCATGTTTCTTTTTTTGTTTGATATAAGGGCATTCGAGAAATCATGGATTCTGTTGCTCGAACTATTGGTCAAAAATATAATCGTTCGTTTACGTCATGCATTCCTATGACATCATTACTATCATCTACAGTGGTCCGTATCACTTTGCCGACAAATTGTTTTGCAGACATGTACACTTTGTCGACAACTTGTTTTACAAACAAAATTTGTTAATATTTAATAAAAACTGATTCATTTTTTTTAGAAAATTCTTTATTTTCTTGATCTTTTTAAATTCTTTTAATCAAAATTACAAATACTCAAAGTGAAAGATTATGGACAATGCCTCGAAGAAAATCCATAGTTGATCTATTACCACGGTCAGCAATAACATTTTGAATTCTGGTTTCTTTATTTGCGTCTTCTTTGCGCTTCTTTGGAGCTGGTTCGCCGCGCATTGCTTTTTCGATTTCCATTTTAACTTCATTTTGTTCTTTTTGAATTTGTTTTATAATAGTAAGAATACCAGCATGAGATCGAGCAATTAATATTGCCCAGCGTCTATGCCACGCTTCGACTTGGTTTTGAGTTCTTGGAAATGCAAATTCCATGTTATGAAAGACAGACCACATTTCTGGTGGAAATAATGGATTCTGTCTTTGAACTCTGCCTTTTCTCATTAGCATCAGATGGTAGTAAAGCTTTGACTTCGTCAAAAGCATCAGGAATTTCTAAAGGACTTAAAAAAGCCAAAGCTGGAATATGTCGTATAAGAAGACTAAAGTTTTGGTCAGTTCCATATTTTTTGGTCAGTCCTGCATCTTGAATTTGTCTGTATACTGATTGTCCTAAATGAAAATGACAGCCTTTGCTTTGAGCACTTGGAAACTCTGATTTTACAGCATTGATTTAACCTTGTTCAAAATCAGTTAATATAAAGTCTGGCTTTAATTCCAATTCATGTTCTTCTGCCATTTCATTTAATTCTTGAAATAATTTTTCATATAATTCTTCGCTTTTCATCGTCATTAATGCGTAAACTAATGGAACAATTCGGAAATTAATATTTCCACCTGCAGGCGCGTGAATGCTGTACAATTGCCGAAATAACGTTGGAACAGTTTTAAACGTTCCATCCATAATCCAAAACTTCGCTTCTTGCAACCATTTAAGATTTTCAGCTGTTGTGAACAGCAAAATTCTTTCAGTTCCTTCGGTAATGTTTTTTGCAAAATGTATTCCATTGAGTGTAATAGAGTACGCATCTGGTAATTTAAAATCGTCCAAAGTTTTTGGTTCAAGTTCTTCATCACAAACACGTCTTGCTCTTTTGATTTGTTGTCTTACGGCATCTTTTCGTGGTAAACATGGTTGTATTTCACGCGATGTTGTAGCAATAACATCGTTAATGTTTCGTGCAGGTTGATTGTTGCTAATTTGACCCAGCTCCTTCATTGGAATGCAGGCTTTCAAAACTTCAGGTTTGCTTGCTTCTGGAGCATGATTGTGCTGTTGAGCATCAAATTTGTGAATCTTATGCTGGTCCTCAGTATGAATTGTAGTTGCTCTTGCAGTACATTTTGTTTCCTTTTGTGATTTGCGTTCGCAAATCCAATAATACATATCATCACGATTTTTGTCTTTGATATACAGGAACCCATCAATGTATATTTTGCATTTGCCTTTGGTTGATTTAATCACTTCAGCATAACTGCTTGTACCGATGTCACTGTTTTTACTTGAAGCCATGAATGAATAGTAACGTGTGGTGAGATCTAAATCTCTTTATGTATATATATCACGTTCATGCCCGCATATACGTCCAATCTCGGACTAGCCTAGGCAATCTAAGATTCGCCTGAAAATAGTACGTCCAATGTGACATTGGCCTAGATCAATCTGAGATTGGACGCATTCAAGTATGAACGCTGACATATATATCACTGTATCTACAATAAATAAAAATTTTTTTTTGGCTTCAATTTTTTGTCGGCGAAATAAATTGTCGACAAAGTGTACATGTCGGCAAAACAATTTGTCGGCAAAGTGATGTGTCGCAAAGCTATTTTCGGTAAAGTGATTGCGACCCATCTACAGATAGTACAGACTCTTTTTCTTGTGGCGGTGGCGGTGCCACATGGTCTGAATCTTCTTTATTTTCATCGGGTTGTGGGTGTGTAAAAGTTACCACAATACAAAAGTTTTGTATTTCGATTTTACGAGGGAAGCATGCCATGATCAGTTTCGTCCTTGTTTAAGGGACTTGTCAAATGGCTTATCTATTTTAAATTCTTCGAAAGGAAAATCCAAAACAAGATGTATCTTCATTGTTACAAAATCAAAACAATTTTGTAACAGAAGATTCTACAGAAATCAGTATTCTGTGGAGGAGCATACCGTGTGTGTGTGGGTGTTTGATGCTCTTAACAACACCCACACAAACACCTACACTCTATGAACCAGTCTGCACAAATATAATATGTAAATAAGTAATTTTGTTCAGCTTTCCATGCTCTATCTTTTAGTATATTACACAAAAAATTTCGTTAATTTTTTGTCATCTAAAAACACCTCAACTTTAAAGAAACAATTTTTGACAGCATTCTTCAAATAGCCTCGTGAGTGCTCGCTAGTAAAATTGAGCTAACTTTTCACCAGATCAAACAAATGCGCTAAAAATTTGTATTTAGAGGTGTTATATGATGCTGAAAAAGAGGGTGTGGGTGTGGGTGGATGTGGGGTGTGTGTGGGTGTGTGGGGTGTGGGTGTGGGTGTGGTTGTGGGTCTGGGTGTGGCTGTGGCTGTGAGACAATGGTGTAGCTTTAATCTTCAGCCGCACGCACATCCACACCTCGCTGACCCACACCCACACCCACACCCACCCACACCCACACCCACACCCACCCACACCCACACCCATACCCACACCCACCCACACCCACACCCACACCCACACCCACCCACAACCCACACCCATCCACACCCTCACCCACACACCCACACCCAACTATCAAAGAATAAATGATGTTATAATAAACAAATCCATGTTGAAAATATATCATAAATAGAATCACGATAAAACTGTAGAAATATCTCCAATTCGATACACTCGAATGAATTGGATAGTCGGTTACTAGTAGAAATTTATTTAACGTTCTTTTTATTGCGAATAAAGTAGAAATATATTAATGGTAAGTTATATTTTTGGCCTCATTAGAAATATTGTCACCTTTGGTGAAAAAATAAAACTACATATGAATTATTTCATAGATAATTTTTAGTTGTCATTATAAGAGTTATGAAAAATTTTACAGATGTTTTAGATCATCGCAAATAAAAGAGCATGTATAAAGATACGTATAGATTGAAAATAATTACCAATTCCTTCCTATTTCTCAGCATGCAGTTACTTTTGTATTAAAAGTTAACTGAATTGAATTCAATAATATCTCTAAAGATGGCATGCACTCGGTTCATATCTGATAGATATCTTGACAACAAATTATGACATAATAATAGATTGATGTTAGTTTAGACAGTCTTAATGACACGGTGAGATTTGTTCCTCTTGTCAGGTAATTAAGAATCAGTTGAAGCAAGAGATTCGAATGGTTTGAAATGTCTTTAATAGTGGTTATAATTAGACTGATACATTCTCTGTACCGGCAAGGAATAGTCTATTTTTAAGGCCATAGGCAATGATTGTTCGATATGGATGCATAAAAGTGATCTGTGAATCATTTTTGACTGAGGTAACATTTGCTAGTTCTTCACCAATTTCATATTTATTTTTTACAAGTTCTTCTATATATTTATTTATGTGGTTTTAAATATGTGCAAAACAATATCTGAACTAGTTCATATAAGATTTTGTAGAGAATTTCAAGCGCTGTCTCTTGATTAAAAAAAAGCATTTTAAGCAATGGGATAATGGAGAAAAAATGATAAAGATACAAACAATACAATTCTGTATGCACCACCTGTTGTTTTAATGAGAAAGTTCTTTAAGATTTCGAATTTCTTTTACAAGTTCGATAATGTCACATTTATGATTTAAATAGATTTCCAAATTTTTTGATTCCCGCTATAATTATATTGTCGTTGTTCTTACTCTTTTTACGGTTAATATCATGTTTTTTTTCCGTAAATTTAATAGCACGACTTTTACTGCTTTTTAATTCGTTTACAATTCGTCGTAATTGTTCACCATTATGTTTTAATGAATATAATTGACGAACTAGTTCTGGTATTTGACTTAATTCAACTACATCACATGGTTCGTTATTTTGAATAGCTTGGTCGAATATTCTTTGTTGTTCTTTGTAACTATTTTTCATGCTTTCTAAACCCTCAATAACTGAAGTATTTTGAGAACCTTTGGAACGTTTCTCTTTTTCTTCTCTAATTAAATGTTCAAGATAATCTTCAAGATCATCATTGAAAACGGCGATTGCATTTTGACGAGTAAAATTTGCAAATTTTGCACTAATTTGCGTAATAAGATCTTGTTCAACTTTTAATTCTTTGATTAAACAATCACAATTATCAATTAAAGCAGAGATTAATTCATAATTATTTTTCTTTTCTGAAATCATTTTTTGAACATTATCATCAATTACAGTTCTGACTATACGTTTATTTTCATACGTGATATGCATATGAGTTGTCCATGGACAATTACAAACCGTGCATTTTCCATTAACCATTGCAGCACATTCTCGCAAAGCCGAATTGTTAACTGTGTCGGTCGTTACATCTTTCAGATTGCAATGAGGATGACAATGTGTGACATAATCAATTTTTTCAATATTTTTAAATTTAACAACTTTTGTACATTTTGACTGTGTACAAACGGTACGAGGATAATCTAAACTTACAGGTTCTAGATCCACTTGAGGGATATTTAATTTGTCTTTCAATTCGTTAATCGATAATTCATTTGCTGCAAGTTCTTTTTTTCGATCTTGAGCCAATTTGATATTCAATTGAATATTTTGAGATATTTGTGCTATTGGCGTAGATAATTGCATAATTAGATTACGAGATTCGTTTAAAGTAATAGTTTCTTTTATTTTATGAGTTGGACATTTTGAAATATAATTCATCATATTTTCAGTCATTTTAACTGATCTAGCCCAACTTTTAGAAAAGTCACTTTTATCTTCATCATTAAATTGTACACCTTGTTTTAATGCTGCAAGAAACCGAAATGATTCATTATCAAAACAAAATATATTTGATTGTAAAGGTATGGATACACCAGATTGTTCTTCTAAATCCTCCAGTAGAGTTCTCAAAGCTGGTAATGTATCGCCCGGTTTATAAAATGTACTACGAGAATTTGTAAAACAGAAAACAATGTTTTCTGTAGCCTTTTTATGAAGATTTGTCAATAGTTCTTTTATACAATATCGAAAAGCCAAATCTAATCTAGCATTATTAGGTTTCAATAGAATACATATACCGTTTAAATGACCATAATTAGATATGTATGAAAGTGTATTTTGTAAATTCTGTTTATCCATTTCAATTCCACGTGTATCACCAATTCCAGGTGTATCAATTATTCTTAAAGTTAAATCATCTATATGAAAAACATGTGCTTTTGCATATTGTGTAGATGATTGACCAACAATAATACTTTCATTATCTTCATTGCCAATCTTTATTATACGTTCCATATAATTATCATCTGTAAGAGTAAATTGTGTAAAAATTCCTATCAAAAGTTCTTCTTTTTCTGCTTCTTCAAGTGAAGAACAAGTTAAATAATTAATAAGTGCATTAATAAACGTTGATTTTCCAACACCTGTTTCACCAAGTAGTAAAATATTAATTTCATTTTCTGTATCTTTACTTGGTAAATAACGCTCCAATTCATCTTTTGTGAATGTGAGAAATTTATCAGGGTGTAGTGGACTACTACATTTAAATAAATAAGAATCAGCTAAAGCTCCTCCACAACCACAATAAAATTTGTTATCATAACCATATTCAATAAATGTTTCACATTTTTCGCATTTCCAATTTTTTTTGTCTCGAGGACAGTTGGATTTTATTCCAGCACAAGGAATATAAAGTTTTGTAGTTGTAACTGGTCTGTTTAATTTGATCGATATTAATGGTGATTTTGCAATACACCAGTTTAAAGATTCTTTTTTATTTTGATAAAGATTATCAGTTATAAGTTTTCCATTTCTATAATAATGAATTTTTATTTCTTTTTGTGTTTTTACTTCATGATGTATATCATAATCAATGATAAAAAATTTTGATTGCGTCTCCTTCATATGTCGAACTAAATCTAAAAAATATTTATAATTATCTTCATAAAGCTCATTCAGTTTTATTTTTAGTTCTTCATTCATGTAAAATAAATAAATATCTCTATCATTATATTTCATTGGAAGACCATCTGGTGAATCATTTTTACTCAAATAAATAATATTTTGTTCTTTGAAAACTTTAATTTGATTGATTGCATTTTTTAATTTTTTATACTTTTCTATAAACATTAAAATATCTGTGGTAAAGCCAGGTTTTTTGTAAAATTTGTTTAATATGTTTTCTATTTCCATTGGAGTCTTGTGACCAGATCTTATTTCTATTAATTTTGTTGCAATTTCTTCTCGAAATGCAGCTTCAGTTACTTTTATCTGATTGTTCTTCATTGCAAGTTCATTGATATCGGTTTGAACAATAAAGTCACTATTTTCATTTACTTCATTGTAAAAATCATTAAACTTTTGTTTAGCCAATAACAAATCATCAAATTCTTTTTCAATTCGTGTTATTGTTTCAAGATTTAAATTTGTTAAAACTCTATTAATTTTTGTTTCCAATTGAAAAAATCTTTCAACATCTTTCAATGGATATAATATATATTCAAGAGGTTTTCCTTTTCCATTATTGGATTTTTGAAAATATAATGGAACTTTTTTCATTAATTCAAGAGCTTTTTCAAATGTTTGTGGTAGTTCTTCATTTTGAGGAATGATATCTCCAAAGAACTTGATTGATAAACTTGTTTTCAATCTATTTTCATCTTCGGTAAATTGAACAGAGGCACTACCCGATATTGATAAAGATATTTTTTCCATATTTGCTTTTAATGCTCCTTCAATATCTGTTTTCAGATCATTTTCTTTATTCGCAAATTCAAACGAAGCAACCACGTTTGCACCCCATTTTATTCCAACCACAACATGTGTTGCATTTGGTAGTTTTAGTGCATCGTAAGATACTAAGTTTTTCAAATTTTCATTTGAAATACTAAAATTTTCTTCTTTTGTTCTTATACTATAAATCAGAGTACTCTTGACTGACTTATAGCTTTCTTTTTCATTGCTTAAGTATTTTCCAGATCCTTCTAATTTAAATAAACCTGCAAGTACGCTTACTTTCAATTGCGCTTGTACATCTAATTTTTTAAATTTTTGTTCAAATGTATCTGAAAAGTCATATTCAAATTGTGTGTGTGGTACATCTATGCTTGAAACTATTGTTGTTGGTAATTCGTTTTTAAATAAAGAGATCCCACAAAATTCTTCTTTTCTAGCATCATATAAATAGCCAAGTTGGGAAGCTCGTCCAAGAGCTTTTCTACTGATTGTTGCATTTTGATCCATTTTTAATTAGAAATTTATTATCTAAAAATAGAAAATCAGTATTTATTAAATAAAATATAAAAACTATGTGTTAGATCCGTTTATAACGTTTTATTTATAAAATTACCCTCGCTTGCCACCCCTCATACACATCAAACTGACTGATATTTATACCAGTCTTAATGCGCGAGATGGAAGATACCAATAGATCACATAATACATTGGAAAAATACTTGAGTTGTTACGTCAAAAATAATAACGGAAGAAACCAAGAGAACATACTCAAGAAAATACCATATCGAACAAAAGAAAAGAGAAATATATATGACATCATGCATATGTAAGGAAAGACAGAAAGAATGAATACATATATGTGATTTGTGTCCATTACTTAGTAGAGTGAGATGGGGTAAATGTATAAGAAAAATCGAACATGTTTTGTATAACTTTGATATCTTTTTTATTTTTTAATATTTTAAAAAATTTTCTTCACAAACTATGTAGAGGAATGTCTCCTCTATCGATCTATGAAATCAGGTTTAAAAAATTTTGCAGTATAACATAGTGGTGATGGATTTCCCGAGACCTCCATCAGATATTATACATTTACCCCAAGTGGGGTAAATATATAAAAATTTTTTTATTAAAGTTCTCTGAAAAAGTTCTGTCAAAACTTGTTATTTATGATATAGAGATTCGAAATAGTTTAACGTCATAGAGAAAATCTTCAGCTATCCATTCGTAAAAAAGTTTTGCTAACCAAGCAAACAGATCATTTATAAACTTGGTTTTACTACTCAAGTCAAAAATAGCTGGGATTATACATTTACCACACTTGGGGTAAATGTATAATATCTGATGAAGATCTCGGGAAATCCATCACCACTACTTTATACTGCAAGATTTTTTAAACCTGATTTCACAGATCGATAGAGGAGACATTCCTCTACATAGTTTGTGAAGAAAATTTTTTAAAATGTTGAAAAATAAAAAAGATATCAAAGTTATACAAAACATGTTCGATTTTTCTTATACATTTACCCCATCTCGCTCTATGTGACATAACACCATGGTTTGGCAAAAATTTAAATAATAAAAGAAATATATAAATGTATTTCTCATAATAAAATTTATGCATAATGTAATAAATAGACTAAGGCTTTTATATTTTAGAGCGTATGTGTAATAGCATTTATTTTCGATTTCATCAATATTGTGTACTTTATTGATATAGTAATTATAACCAACAAAATGTAAAAAAAACCGTGATTTATGTTTATGGCCCTTTGAGAAAAGCCCTTCGTCTTGCGTTCGATTTTGAGAAGCATTGAATTTCTTTATCTTTTCTTACAGCTTGATCATAAATCAAGCACAGGAAAGAGAAAAAAATTGGTAAACCGTTGAACACAATCCTGGCTTGCTTACCATATTTTTCATCATCAAAATCATGTCTTTGTCATCATTGCGCGCATATAAAGAAAAAATCAACACATGTGTCTGCCGGGTTGATTTCTTCTTGTACTACTTTTTATTATGAATATGATGGAGGAAAAATCCAGCATCGTTGTTTTTTCTCTTCATTACACAATGATGACTAATACATGATTTAGACGATAAAAAAAATGTTGGAAAAACTCAGAGTAGTGGTTGTCCACACATATCTTTCATCATTGTGCAAGAAAGGCAAAAAAACGATGACGTCAGATTTTTCGTTCGATACATCCGCGGTAGACCAATAACATGAGATGAAATCGACCCGATAAGGGTATATGTGTTGGTTTTTTCTCTTCAGGCATGTAATGATGATAAATGAATGATTTGAATGATGAAAAAAGGGAAAGAAATCCAGAATATTTATCATTCGTATCATGCAATTGATATCCTTGCATAAATACACGAAAAAAATCAGTAACATATGGACTGCTATCAAATTGATTTCTTCTTTTATTATTTGTTTATTATAAATATGATGAAGGAAAAATTCAGCATCATTGATTTTTTTGCCTTTCTTACACAATGATGATGAAAGCATGCATGGTCAATATACTTGTGCCACCTATTTCATTCTCATTGTCGAGAAGTACAGGTGAAAGATGTGCGTGTTCGTTGCATAGATTTCGATAGACCAATTTTTTCATATTCGACGGAATTTTGTCTTGCTCTCCTAACAGTTTCTAACGATCTAAAAACAAGGTACCATACAAAATCTGAAACGGGTTTCGGTTTTTGAAATAGATTCAAAACTCTTTATCGGTTTCATACAAATAAGGTTTCGTACAAAACTATCTCGTACATTTCAAAGGAAAGGTTTCGTAGTCGAAGTTTCATACGAAGCGCAATATTATCAATCAATTTTTAAAAAGGAGTGATTTTCGAGTACAATATATTCTTTATTTTTGAAAGACTGTCAACGCAAACAAAATCTTTTCGTGTTGTATGTAATGTTGAGTTTTAATCAGAAAAAGTAGTAGTAGAAGTATTGATAAATTTAGATATCTGATGCATATGCTCACATATACACCAACAAGGACGATTTGTTGTTGTTTCACAACAAAAAGTTTTGAAAAAAGTTATTAACCATTATCTTCATCTATCTCTCGGCAGAGATTTCTTGATCTGTTGTCGAAAATATGTGATGTTTATACCTATATTAGAACAAAATACATTAAGAATATGTGAAGTTAGTTGAAGGTAAAATGTTTAAGATCGTTTGCTATCAAATCAGACTGATAAGTGTCGTCATAGAGGTTATATCTATTTGTTTAGAGAAAATCTTAAACATATTTTCTAATGTCAATACAAATGAGTTCAATTGCTTCTCTGTTGCTGAATGAACCATGAAGTTCTACAATGTCAAACATTCTTACATATCAAATGATTTTAGTTACTTTTTTTATGAACTTAAATGTCGACTATGCTCAACTTATGTTCAGCTTTGGAGTATATTCAACAAACATAAACAAGCCAACAGTGTCTGTTTTATACTCATTCAACTTTATGTGATGACAAAAAGGTGAAGAGATATATTTATTTCTCATTAATCATTATGATGAAAGTGCAAACAATAAAATTATCAAAATAAATTGGTTTCATATAAAACCAAATATGAAATTGAAGACAATTATAAAAAGCATAACGTATTTATATAGTAATATACGTTTAAATCGATAAGAAGATAACGAAAATAATTCTCATATTTTGTACTGAGATCTCTTGTTATTGTTTGACATGGATCGATTGTTTTTTGTACAATATCTGAGATAACCTTCAAAAGGATAAATTTAGATGACGCATTAGGTTTCGCATCATAACAGAAATAAGAATATATCTTCTAGTAACGAAAATACATATGGCAAACATCAAATCGAATGATGAGAATAGTTCAAAATCAATCAAATAAAACTTTTGTATTATTTCAATAAATTCTGTACTTGTATTTAAAACAGATATTGAGTCGAAAGAAGTAGTTGATTGGCTAATCTATGGATCTTTTCTTGTGCGAAGGAATACTTGTTTGTACGTCCTATGCATTGTGAGGATGTGAAGGAAAGGGTAAGCATGATAATGATGAAACGGCTTCGGTACACAGCCGAAACTTAGCCGAATTGTTTCAAAATCACAAATCAGATCCAAAGTCCATTTTCGCATTCTGAGCTGTCGATTGATATAGGATAGTACGACAATGGTCCACGAATTAATCAAACCAGATTAGCACGCACTCATCTCGTTTTTAATTACGCCTAAGGGTGTGGATGGGTGTGGGTGCGTGGATGTGGGTGTAGGTGTGAGTGTGGGTGGGTGGTGGGTGTGGCTGTGGGTGTGGGTGGGTGTGGGTGTGGGTGTGGGTGGGGTGTGGGTGTGGGTGTGGGTGTGGGTGTGGGTGTGGGGTGGGTGTGGGTGTGGGCGGGTGCTGGTATGGTTGTGGATGTGTGAAGCGTAGGAGTGAGAGTATTGTCACTTCTTCACTCACATCCGACCCACACCCACACCCACACCCACACCCCACACCCACACCCCACACCCACACCCTCACCCTCCACCCACCCACACCCACACCCCACCCACATCCACACCCACCCACACCCTCAAGTTGTCGAAGAGTTATTCACTTTCATTTTTCTGCAGACTTTTGGGACACACTGTATAACGTCTTTATATATAAAATCTATGATAGACCTTATTCTTATAATCAATGATGTATTCAATCACATTAAGATCTCTTCCCCAAAAACTGACCTCAGCCTAGAACATCCAAATTGAGTGAAATTTACAGTATATGTTGGGACTATAGTGAAGAGACTATGGTAAAATTTTCAGCCGTATATCATGACGCTTGTCAGAGATATTCATCAAACAAGGGCCGAAGCTAACTCATTCTATATATTTAAATTTCTTTTTGTTTGAAAGAGCATATCAGGATGCAGTGCTTACCAGAGCGCTGTTTTTTAATTCTTACTTTTTAAGCGGAGAAAAGGGATCACAAGTTCAATGACTCAAAAAACGCGTCAAAAATAGGTGTCTATTTATGTCAGTGTTTGTATATATAGTAAAACAGAGCATAATTGAAAAAAGGCTCTGGTAGGCACTGCATCCTGAAATGCTCTTTCAAACAAAAAAACTTAATATATAAATTGAGCTTGGACAGAGAATTGCTTGCACGTTCAAGAAAGCATAAACTGAGAAAAAACGAAAAACATTTTCAATTTTTTTTAAGACAGCTAGTTGTTCGAATAGGGTTGACAGAATTCTTCAAAATTTCTTGGGAAAAAGAGAGTATCGAGTAAAAATTTTTATGGTTTCTGAAAGATTAGATGAAGGGCTATCTCCTCGTGTATTTATTTCAATTTGGAAATTTCTGACGAAAATTGACTTTTTTTGAGTCCTGGTCCATAAGAGGATCTATTTTAATCAGCCAGCCTGAGTGTGATGGGTTTTTAAAAAAATTTATGCCGACACCTACATTCATTTTATAGAAGTTTAAAAGATCGCTTTAGTTTAAAAAAAACTCCAGTTAAATAGTTATGAATTTCAATTCTGTAAAGAAAAAATCGTATACAATTTATATACAACTCTATTCATAATACTAAGACGTAATTGAATAGCAGAAGCATCAAATATTATTTAGAATAATATAATGAACTGTGACTAAAAAAAGCAACACGTGTAAAGACGAAATATTTTTGCTTTTTATTTGTAATATTGTCATTATTATTATTATTAAATTCTTTATTTATTTGGTTGTCGGTCTTCTTCCATCACACCGGGTAGAAAATAAATAATATATCAACATCAAAGTTCAAAAATATTCGAATAACTTATTTTAAACATTGTGTATCAATAATATTCCGTAACTCATCACGATGCCTATTAGAATCATTATAGAGTTCGATACGCCAATTCCACAAATACAAGAAAAAAAAGTTTTTTTTTTATTTCAGCATCCACATAATTTTAATGAAAAAAAGAAATAACATATCGAACCAAGTTTATGTTGTGTATTAGGATGATTAAGAAATTCAGATAGATATTGTGATACGAGCGCTTCAAGTATGACTTCTTTTAATTCATAAAATACAGTTGGATCTTCTTTTGTTAAAAATCTTATCGATTTGCCTACACAACCTGATATATTCATATAGAAATCTTCATAGAATCTTGTGAAATACTAAACAAGAGTAAGTTACTTCGCTTGTATCATTTCAAGTTCTTCAACTATTGCTAATTCATATGTCATATTATTTATTTAATTCATGATTTTGACCATAGAAAGCTGTATATATTATTTTATTTGAACCACCTTTTTCAGAATTTTGTTCAATAAGATCACTTAGTGAAAATACTTGATCAATGCATGAATGATTATTATGTTGATTTGTTTAAGTTGTCAAATAAGAACTCATCTAGTAAGATCTCAATCTTTTTTATTTCCTTCTCTTTAACTAACAGAAAAATAAAAATATTATTAATGTCTGAAATAAAATTTGTTATATTAGGATAAAATTCATACATATATTTAATGCTATCAAGTATTTTTGACATTGATATTCTTCACTTAACACTCAGAACCAGTAAACATGTTGTTATGATTGGATAAGCAGGAAGAAAACGAAGTCAATAAATATTAAATGATAACTTAGCATATACTACGTGACTTTCTTTAATTCAAATGTTTCAAATATTGAGAAATGTAGCACAAAAGTAAGAAATTTAAACTTTATTGAATAGGAATAGAAAAATAAGAGTTATACTAATTATAATAAAGATCTCTTGTAGTGAAATTATATCTGATAAGTTTGGTAACATCTGTTAACTAATTGAAATTATCAATAAGAGTGCAATACTAGTGCATGTTTTAGTCTCGATTGTTAGAATTTCATTTAACTAATACTTTTAGTGTAACTTCGACAAGCTTGAAGTATCAACAGAGAACAACAAAAAAAATTTAATGAGTTGCCTGAAATTGAAAGAAAATTTGAATATGTAAGAATGCTTAGAGAGCTAATATACTATGTTTGACAAATTTATTTGAATTGCTGCACCTCATTATGAATTAAGTGATTCGAACTAAAAGATACTGTTGCCAGGATTTACATTTAATGTTGATGATATATATCTGAAAATCGTTTTTACACATACAATTGAAACGATATAACTCATAGTTGGGTATTTGATTAGGCAGGAAGATTTATTTTCTTGTGAAAGTATATATGATGTGTATGAATATAGATAAGAGTCTCAGCTATATCCATACCTTATATCAATTATATCCTTTTCTTTCATTTGTATAATTGTGAGGCAGCTAAGCACCAATGCTAATATTTAAAATCAAGCAAACAAGCATTTGTAACTTGTCAACAGGAATAAAATGAATTTTTTAATCTGGTCCAATCTAAAACATTTACACTCCAGTTATTATATTCTTTTTATATTAAAATCAATTTTGTGTGCTTACGTTTCAAAAACACTAGAAATAGGAGCTTACTATCTCCCGCAAATTCATCCGAAATTAAACATTGTATCAATCACAAAAAAACCACATGTCCGATACAAAAAATTATAATAAAGAATGAATGTGAATATCAATGAAGAAGAGACTCACACCCACACCTAAAGGCATGGGGCCTTATGCTCTTCTACTTTAGAAATTTGACTACACAGCAGTCCTACTTTGAGTACTTTTCTATGTTGAAACACATATATACCCCTCCGCGCCTTCAGAGGCAACTTACAGTTCTACCCACATCCCACATCCACACTCACACCTTAGTCACCAGTCTATTTGATAATCTTATTTTATTCATTACAGCTGGACATGCGTTAATAGAGTTCTCATAGTGGCGAATTTTTAATTTCTTCTGTGCCTCGGTCGACAAATTGATCGAAAAAAATTGTCGGATTTATTAAGACAATACAAGTCTGATGGGAATAAAAGGTGAATATCTTTTCATAGTATTATACAAGAATTCTTTTCGTCTTTATTTTAAAATACATAATATAATATTGAAATGAGTTTATACTGTATATTAAATAAAATTTGTTAAGTTCATTTTAATAAATTGGTATGAAGCGTATTCGCTCAAGAAAATAGACTTGAACATGAATAAAAATATTTGATTTACAGAAAAAAAGACGATTTTTTTTTATTAACTTAAGAAAAAATGTCGAGAATGTTTTTTTATAGATGTCGGCATTATTCAAACTAGTAAAAACATTGTATAAAACAAAACACAATATGAAATACTTTTTTGATTTGAAAGAAATCCAAGGACCATCATTGGCCTTCTGATATTGTATTATATGCATGATATATGCTTGACACCAAATGAACTAGAATTTCAATCTATTTCTTTTGTTTTTTTTTTAAATAATATAAAAATTCAATGTTCATGTCTACATATATTTTCCTATATAGTGTGACATCAGACATTCGTTTTTCTCTTTTTTTTTTTCGTTCTTTCTCATATGTTGTCTATGTTCAAATATTCAATATATATCGTGCATTCTATTTGAACTTGGATATATCAATGAACGTCAGTTCAATTGTAATTTCTGAATATGAATGACTGTTTATGATCAATGGATTGACCTCGGTCACTATTTTCTCTTCTTTTTTTTTTCTTTCATTCATTTCTTTCGTACATTTCTTTTTCCTAGATCTAGTTCGTTCTCGTGCATATACAATGTTATCATATTAGAAAAACATTCTTTCACTAGACAAATCGGACTATATATATATATAGATATAGATATATGTTTTACTAGTTGTTCACAATTCTTTCTTTTATCCGACCTCGACGAAAAAGAAGTTAGAATTCGAAAATAAATAATTCAGTCATTCGTTGCAAAATCATCTAAACACACACACACACATACACCACACATACAAACTTATATAACACTTTCTACTTTACATATCTAGTAGATATATTTTTAATCAATGGATATTAATTGTTGTCCACGCAACGATTTTTCATTTCCAACAAAAAATAGTACTAAAGATTTTCTTTCAACATGGCCAACAACATTAAATGGAAATCTATCGAGTATGTGTTTTTTATTTGATTAAAATTCAAAAAAAAATTTTCTTTATTAAATAAATTTAAGATGAAAATATCTTCGATCAAGAAACAAAACCATTTCAAGATTATATTCTACGTAATAGCTCGAATATATTATCACTTGAACAATCAACATCATCATCATCATCATCATCAACATCATTATCATGTGTATTACCATTTCAACAACTTGTTATTAATGATCTTAATACACAACATAATTCATCTATTTTACCATTTACATTTAATAATAATAGTTTAAATGAACCATTACCATTTAGTACAAATCATCAAACAAATATTAATGATGAAAATGCACGACCACCATGGTTACTTTCATTAGCACCAATATCACAAATTTCACCACCATTTTTACAACAAAATCAACAACAATCAATTTTACCAATGATATCACCTATACAAGATGATTCAACAGAAAATATTCGTCATTGGATTGGTGATTTTTCAACTGAACAAACAAATATAAATAATACTAATAATAATAATAATAATAATGGTTTACAACAAATACCATTATTATCACAAAAAGTATTTATTGGTGGTGTACCACGTTTTGCAACTGAAACTGATATACATGCTAATTTTGATCGTTTTGGTATATTTGAAATACAATGGCCAAAATTACATGGTGGTCATAAAGAACAACATCGTGAAAATGGATTTTTTCATATTGTTTTTCATAATGCAAAATCAGTTTGTGCATTATTAGATAGTTGTTCACGTCATACAAATAATAGTGCATGTGCTGATTATTTTATACATTTTGAAACAGCAACTGGTTCAAGAAAAACTGTTGAAGTTATACCATGGAATATTGGTGATAATAATTATGCTTTACGGTAAATATTTAATTAAAATAATAACAATAAAAAAACAGAATTAATTTAGAATTTTTTTTTTAGACCACCACAACAACTTGATTCAAAAAAAACAATATTTGTTGGTAATCTTCATGGTACAATGACAGCTCGTTATTTATGGCGTTTAATGGAAGATTTATTTGGTGGAGCTGTTTATGCTGGTGTTGATATTGATAAATATAAATATCCGTAAGTAATATTGTAAACAAATTTTTCAAATAAAATATTATTATTATTATTTTTAGAATTGGTAGTGGTCGTGTAACATTTGATAATAGTTCAAGTTTTCTTCATGCTGTTTCAACAGCTTTTGGTAAATTATTAAAATTCGAAAAAAAAAAAAAAATATTTTTTTTTTTTTTTTTTAGTTGATGTTCGAACTCCACGTTTTCTTAAACGTCTTCAAATTGAACCACATTTACAATATCGATTTTGTTCATTATGTAAAACAGCTGCTGGTGATTTATTTTGTCGAAATTTTGCTTGTTTCGATTATTTTTGTCAACGTTGTTGGCAAAAAATTCATATTGGTAGTATGTCATCACATAAAGCAGTGACACGTCATTCAAAATCTTCGCAACCAGTCTTTCATCCAATTCAACAACAATCAATTTCACAACCAATTGATTGTATTATAGGTGCAAATGGATTTTAAATAAATATATATTTGTATGTGTGTGTACGTATGATCTCAATTTAAAATTTAATAATTTTCTAGTCGTCGTCGTACATATTGATGAATGACTGTTTATTGTTATCTTATGTTTTATTTTATTTTTTCTCTTTTTTACATTCTTTATTCTTTTCTCTTAATTGAAGAGATTTTTGATAGCTTCAAAACAAAAAAAAAAAACTTATGAGATTGTTCAATGTATGAATATACTTTTTTTTTTCTTCTTATATCAGATGATTTTTTTTCAAGCTTATATTAGCTTACATCTTAGTTGATTTTCTTCTTTTTTTGTCTATCTTCTATTGCCTTGTCATGTGAGTCGTGCAAAACAGAAGAACTAATTAATAAATAGAATTCTTTTTCTACAAAAAAAAAAATTAACTAAATTTTTTTCTCTTTTTATTCTAATTTTTTTTTTCTTTTCTTGTTTGTTCTACTTTTTCTGTATGTGTTAGAAATGATCTGTTTACTTTCTTTTTTTTTCCCTGTCATTATTGTCTTTTTTTCTTTTGCTGCTAAATTTTTCTTTTTCTTGTTGCGTGTGTTTAAGTATTTTTCTTTTTCATCAAATGATTGAAAAACAAAAACTCACGACCATTAAAAAAAGAAACAGAATCGATTTATAGATTCTTGTGAATGATACTATTTAAAGTAGAATAAATGATCGTAATTAGAACAATATTTTCGATAGTTTATATGAAATAAAAGATTTTAATTTTTTTTCATTCTGAGACTCAAATGCTAAAGAAAACAGAACTGATAGTACAATTATTTTTTCGTCATCGATTACCTCAGCTTGCACTTTGTTGTTATGGTCAGTGTTTTATCTAGGTTTCGTTTCCCGAGTGGGCAAGTCGAAATTTTGGGTGGGCAGCGCCCACCCAGTAGACAATTGGCTGCTGTATATTTTCGAGTGGCCGAATCAAAATTTCGGGTGGGCGGCGCCCACCCAGTAGATAAATCACTGGTTATGGTTCGTATCAGAGATGGACAAAATCGCACCGCGCTTCCCCGCGCCACTGCTCGCGTCTAGGCGCTACGCACATCTCTCTTTCTCTTTGCTCTACCAATCAGTTTCTCAAACTCCACCGAATACCGGGATGTTCTAAGCATGCGCTCATCGAAGCTCAGACTAGTGTAGCGTAGGCGTGAGCAACGGCGCGGGGAGGCGCGGTGCGACTTTGTCCATCTCTGGTTTGTATATCAGAGTGCTGATTATCTATTGTTTTTTCACTAAATTTTCTCTACATTCTTCCTATAATGAATCTGCACATATATTCGTCTAATAAAAAGTAAGAATTTCATTGATTATGATCACTGCTATATGAAATTTATCTCTTAATATACATAATCCAACTCGTTTTCTTTCTTTCAAAGACGTAAACAAACAAAAAAAAAACAAACCGACATTAATAATAATAATAATAAACAAACGACCACAACAAAAACACCGATTCTTCAACGTATTGGAAGAAACAACAAAAACAAAAAAAATAATATTAAGAATAATTAATCTGACAAAACACGAAAACAAAGACAAAAAAACGTTCTTAAGAAATTCGATCTAATTGTACAAAAATTTTGCCATCATAATATGGCACTAATTCATCGTCCATAGTTAATTCACGAAATACATACTGCTCTTTATTTATATCTGGTGTACATGTAGTTTTAAAGAAATATCTATAATAAATAAATTATCAAAAAAAAAATAAATCATGATGAAAATACTTATTCATACCTGAAAATAGGTTGTTTTTTAAATAATTGTCGAAATTCTTTAAATGTTATATGATCATGAATTTGTGGAATTGTTGATAAAAGAGCATTATTACTGTCAAGTGATGGATACCAAATAACATTAATTGTTGATAAACGTTGTCCATGTTGACAACGAAACATTTCATTGTCTCTATAATAATAACAAAAAAAAAAAAGAAACTTTTTCTATTGTTTTATTAATATTTATTAAATATTACTTTTCTGATGTATCTGTTCCAACACCTGAATCTGATCTTGTAAAACTATTTCTTAATAATGAATTATCTTGATATTTAATCATTGATGATGATCTATATCGTTGTGTAAATTTAGTTGTTGGTATTTCAAATAAACAATTATCAGCATCATCAATTGTTTTAGCTATTTGTGAATCAAGAACAGCTAATGAATCATCATCAACTGTTCGATGATCATTAAATAAAACTTTATTTTGTACATTAAATGATTGTGAAAGACCACGAAGTTTAGCTATACTTGAATTTTCAGCTTGATAAGCTAATAAACGTTTTTTAATTTCTTCAAAAAATGCAGCTGGATCACGTTGTGCAAGACTATATTGATCTTTTTGTTGTTTAGTTAATTTAGTTGTTCGCTTTACAAACAAAAAAAATCTTATTTTATTTTATTTTTATTAATAAAAAGATTAACTTACTGGTTGTTTTGAAATATTTAATCCAGCATCATGATCAGCTATTAATGTTGATGTTTCTAATGAACTAAAATAAAAATTATTTTATATGAGATATTTTATTTTTTGCCTTATTTAAAAACTTACAATGAATAAGGATTTCTCATTAGTAATAGTGTCATTGTGTTAAAAACAACTGCACAGTTAATCTTAAAATATCAGATATGTATATGTCTCTGTATTTCTCATTCTCTTTTTATTTCTCTCTTTCTCTCTCTCTCCTTTTTTTTTTGATAGTCTACTTTCTAACAAGCGCGGCGTCGGCACAATAGTGTAATCTAATTGAATGTGATTCATGTTGACAAGATCAAAAAGACCGACAACGTTAGAAGTTAGAACGATCAAAGTAAACCGCATACTTTGAAGTTCAGACAAGCCGTGATGGCGGCGGTAACGGCAGAAGACAAGAGAAAAAGAAAGAAAGAAAGAAACGAACCAACGGTCGACGCTTAACCATCCATCTATCGGGGCTAATCTACAGGTTGTTCTTTTACTCTTCAATCAGCTATTCAAGCGAAAGCGTGACGAAATGCATACACTTGTTTGATGATGAATAATCATCAAATCTCTTAGACTTAACACAAATCAGCCACGTGACCATATAGAATAGAGATGATACTTTGTCTAATTTCAATTTATAGATATTTACCTTGGTTCAATTGGATGTTGACGAATATGAGATGATGTTTTAACCGGAGCAGATGTACTAGAAGAATAAAAGAAAATTTATCGTTAAATTTTTGTAATCTCAAAAGTACGAGAATGTTTTTTTTTTCATATATAATCTTACTTGAGAATTCGTTGATTTGTTTTTTGTTTTAATTGTTCATAAACATCTTTTTTTCTTAATGTCATTGATCGTTTATGCATAGGACTAAATTTAGGTGTATTTAATATTTGATGTTTTTTTAATTCATTTTCTTCTTTTTGTTTTTGTTCAATAAGAAATTTTGGATAACACATTTGTAACATATATTTTAAAACATATTCTTGTGCTTGATCATAAAATTTTAAATGATAGTCATGTTTAATTAAACGTTGTTTTATTGATAATATTAAATCATCTGATAAAGAAAATTTTGTTTTAGATGATGATGATAAATATTTTCCATTTGATAAATAATGTTTATATATAAGTTCAATAATAGCACCTTGTTTTGATATATCATCAAGTAAATTTCTTAAACCATCACATGCTAAATAAAATTCTAATACATATGCTAAATGTTCAGATTTCATATAAATATAAAATTGTTCACATAATTCAGGTTGATTAAGATATTGTAAAAATTGTTTACGTAAATCTAAATCATTTATTTTCGATGATGTCATATTGAATCTAATTAAAATAAGATAAATATATATATATATTCGTTTAGATTTATTGATTGACTCTCTTAGTCAGAGTACTTGGACACTCAAAAATAGAAACAGAACAATCATTTTACTTACAACATTATGAAATAGTCTTTTTTTTGCTTTTTGATTCAAAGAAAATTAATGGACAGTAGTAATTGACTTGTATGTGCGAATACACTTTTCTCTGATGTTCTCTATATATATCAAGAAAATGATCAACGAACGAACGAAAAAAACGGTCGGAACATTTTTTGAAAAAAAAAAACTAAACAAATCTCAAGCAGCAACAGCTTTTTTTCTTTCATTCGAAAAAGATCAAAGACGCATTCTATTGACAAATGATAATCGACGAGGATAAAGTTCTCATAAAGGAAAAACAAAAAATGAATATATTTCATTTCTTTGTCAGTCGTTATATTAGATTTAGGAAAAATTAATTGCATAAAATTGAAAAAAAAAAAGAAATGGAATGTAATTATGATGATTTTGAATGAGATATGTTAAGAATTAAAAATGTGATATCTTAAGAGATCAATATGACACGCTTTGCTACTTGTTTATATGATAAACATATGCATTTATTGATACATGTCAATTGACTCTTGAATTTAATCAGCTTTAGATATCTGTTCGATTAAAAAAAGAAAAAAAAAAGGAGAGACAATCAGATTTATTTTAGAATTATATATATTTTTCGCGAAAAAACAATTCTATATAAATACATATGTGATAGATGATTTAACACATTTTAAAATACATATTTGAAGACAATTAACAGTTAAAATATAAGAAGTTTAAACAGTGTTTTATCTAGTATGGGAGGCAGCAATGTCTCATTGAGAGAAACTCTTGAGAAAACACTGAATATAAAATAAAATAATCGAATTTCACGATGGAATCAATATAGAATAGAAACACAAGATAATCTCATTGTAAGACTCTTATCATATGTTTTCTTCTTATAGATAGATCCATTATCATTGAGATAGTGTGTCCGAGGACGCAGAAGGTTATGGATGGATGCATATATTCAATATCTATTTCTATAACTTGTTCGAAATATCAGAGATGCGAACATGACATTAGATTAATGCTATCAAAGAACACATGAAGACTTTTCTCAAAAAAAAAGTCAGTTTTCGTTAGAATAGTCAAAATTAAGATAAATACATGGGAAAATAACCCGTCATTTGCTCTTTCATAAATGATAAAAACTTCTCTTCGATATCTCATTTTTTCCAAAAAATTTTCAAGATTTCTAACAACCCCTATTCGAAAACGTCAATACGCTGTACAGTGCAGAGCGCTTTTTTAAAATTATGTATACAGACACTTATATAACTCGACACCCATTTTATAACGGTTTTTGGAGTCATTGAACTTTCGATCCAATTTTTCCCTAAAGTAAATATTTAAAAAAAAAGAGCCCCGTACTGCACTGCACTCTGACATGCTCTTTGAAACAAAAAAAAATTTAAATGCATCACACGGACCTGGACTGAGAAATTTGTTTTGCCAAATGAGCTATTTTTGGCCCTTGTTTGGCTTGTATCTCACCAAAACATCATGGTATCAGGCTGAACATTTTACCATAGCCTTTCCACACTAACCTCAACATATTCTGAAAATTTCATGTCATTTGAACGTTCCTGAACTGAGGTCGATTTTTGAGGGAAAGGGGCGCCTTAACAGCAAAGTGACTGACGAGGGAAGTCCTTCAATCGTTTTCAAGTCAAGACACTGTGCATTGTGTAGGTCAAAATGAACTATGAATATCCTGGAAAAACCTCTTGTCCTTAGCTTATAAGCGCAGCACAGAAAGAATCGTTAATGAAATAGGTTTTTGCGAAAGTTTTAACGCTGTTGGTCTGCTAGTTTATATGTGCAATGTAAAAGATACTCTATTGCCATAGTTGTATATAAAACAGTGGAATACTTAGAACGGTTCTCTGAAGACAAAAAAGCTGTTATCGAAAATTCGGTAGACAATTTTTCAGTAACAAACTTGATCTTGTGAGAAACATTGTCCTCTAGACTCCTATTACAGCTTCAACTGTTTATCATGAACATTGTTATATAAAAAATGATTTTAATTATCTTTTAGAAATGTACGTCAACACTTGCATTATAACTGAAGTGTTTATTCGTGTTCAGAAGTATTGCGACTGACAATCAATCTAAGTTATATTTTTTAATAGGCAAGCGAAAAAAAAAAGAAATGACGCATGTTCAAGATTGATGTAAACGATCTATTATACAATTACATCATATAGAAAAAAAAAGAAAAACTTTTTCTCATTTATATTAATTCATTTCATCAAGGTCTTAATAAAAGAAAAATATAATCAGCTTCATTATGTATGAAAACGTCAATTTGCTAAGTTTTATTTCTAATTCCGTATGTAACTTACTCATCATAGAATGTTCGTTTATTTGGATTTTTATTATTTGTCATTGTTAACATATAAATTCTAATATTTAGATAGATTTCTTTTCTTTTTGTCCGTTTTCATACTTTTTTTTATTACAAGTGGAAAATAGAGACGTATGCAAGATTTTCCTTTTTATTCTCTCTTTTGCCTTCTCTCACTTTTCTTTTTTATTCATCCATTGGCATTTCACCACTTGAACAACTGAATTTCCTTTTCATATCATGAATGACGCGTGCTATGTTCAATTTACTTTATAAAGAAAAAAAAAAAAAAGAAAATCCTTGATTAGTTTGTCGTTGCGGATCATATTCAGATTTTAATATTTCCTGTTAAACTTATTGTCTATATCATAAATTAGTAGGCAATTACTTACTACTAATATTACCCTAGATCTTGAAAATTTAACTCACGAATTTTTTTTTTTTATTGCATGTAGATCCTATTCCAATCGTTCAATCTAACATAGAATATTGACGAGAAAAAGATGGCTCGAGGGATTGAGGAAATGAAGCAAAAGAAAGAAAAATAATTAAGTACACCATTGCCTCAAACAAAGGCGTGTCTTCCGGTCTGGCATAATAAAAAATAGACGAATGAATGAATGAATGAATGAATCGAAGAAAAAAAAAGAAGAAGGCGGAGTTAGTAAGAAATGAGAATGTTGCATTACGTCAAAATGAAAATATGGAATGTCTTACATATGCATGAATGATTGAATAGATAGATATAAAAGAGAATATTAAACTTACTTTTTTGTTAGTTGTTGTAACAATGACATATTTAATTTTTTTTTATTAAATATCTAGAAGAATAAAAATTAACAACTTATTTTATGTATAATTCATGTTTCTCTTTTTCTTTTAAATATATTGAATAATTTGTTTTATTATATTAGTTCATCAATATAATAAATAATGTAAAATTCCATAAAAAAAACGCGTTTTCTTTAAAATGATTAAAATATTTCAATGTAACAAACGTTAGAGATGATCACTTCGATATCAATCAAATTTAAAATTTAGTTCAGACATAAGAATTCAATCATTAAGACTGTCCTATCGATATCACTAAATAAAGGATAACCGTTCTTTCTTTCTTTCTTTATCATATTTTGATTGGTTATTTTCAATTCAATCAAAAAAGCTTTCAATTCCTTCTTACCAAACCTTCAATAACTAATAGCGACAAATTTTTATTTATAAACAAAACAAGAAAAAAAAACGAATCGTTCGCTATATTCTTTTTATTCATTTATCTCTACAAAGAAGATGACCACAAACGATTCAGAAAATCTTAATCCATCAATTTTTTTTAATCGTATTCTTCTTCAA